TTAAAGTAGCTAGTCATATTATGCTTTTTATAAACGACTTTTTGGAAATATAGAGTAGTCAAGTAACCCGATTTTTTCTCTTGGAAAAAAGGCATTGTGGAGCGTAAATTTATTTGCATTTTAAGAATCCTGTTGAACCCTGAAAATAACAAAGTCAGTTAGATCGGTGTTATCCGTTTTCTGGCGTTCACTCGTAAGAAAGGAGGCTATGAGTAGTGCAATCCGACAGTCTCATATGAAGACTGAGCGAAGGTAGTTGGCCCAGTGAGCAGACCCACTACTACCAACACAAAGCCCTCGGTGAGTCAGTTTGCCCCTACGTATAGCCTCCATTTCGTAACGAGACTTCCATGGAAACCGGACGTAAACATACCAATTCAGACTGAGTGAATTATGACCTTTCTGCTTGCATCATAGGAGAACCTATGGAGCTTGAAGAGTTCACTTTGAAGAAAGTTGCGAATTGATGAAACGTTTAGCTGCTTGGCTCTCTCAGCAAGGTCTTTTTCGGGTATCTCGATATCTTGATCTGGTTCGCCTCGGTGTCTTGAACGCATAAACGTCAATTGGTCTTGGACAAGTTGCTTCAGAAGGAAAAGTATGAGATCTTGATTGTCGCGGCCAAAGCTGAGGTATCTGGTGAAATTCTAGAAGTCGATTAGGCCTATTCAAACTTTACATACCTGTCGCATGGACTTCATCACACTGAACTTTTGAGTAGATATAAAGGATTCTAGCATTATTCTTAGCGACATATTGACGTCGTCTTCATTTACGAAGTCGCGGAGATGTAGTCTAGCATGTGCTTCTGCCATACGAATTACGGACTCGATGTGCCGAACTGTGATGGGAAGACTGCCAGTTGCCTAAGGGCGAAATGAGTTGTAATCTGAATCATTTGGGCCATGCGGACCCATTACTTACCATTGATTCCCTACGAAGGTCTGCGTAGGCCCTCGCGACCTTATCCTGGTCCATGTTGTTAAGTTTTGGATGGATACGCTCTTTGGCGTATATTATGTATTTTTTCAGCAGATCCTAGGGTAAAAAATGAAAATGAAGAACAAGACATTTTCGATGGTAACATCAGGTCGAAAACACTGGGGATGCATATATATGCTCCTTGTGGCAAATCACCCACATTTTATCACTATCCGCCAAAAGTGAAGATGCAGGTATTTTCTATTGTTCAGCGTAATGTCCTTAGTATAAAAAGCGTTACCAAGGTGTTCGTTCGTACACAAGGTAGCTTCACAGGCCCAATAAGGTTTCAGTTTATTTAAGTTAGTGTCGAACTATGCCGGCCAAGTTGCATTTATATGCAAGATAATAGGACAAAGGACTGGAAGAAAAACTAACCTGGGGGAGAGCTAGTACGTTACCGGTTGTGATTCGGCCTAAGGATGCACCATGAGCAGAGAGCCTGTCAGTCAGTTCGACGCGCTCTCCCTTAGTGAGGTTAGGGTGGTGGCGCATATGACTACCGACAACAAAGCGAGCCAGCATTTCATCCTAGAATTAACAAAAAAGCAAATGGAATAAGGGTAGCAAATAAAAATAAAGACTAAATATTATTAACATACTTGAACTGTATCCACAGTATCCCTGACGACGCAGAGAACATCAAAACGACTGAGAATCGGCTCACTTAAATCAACGTTTTCAGCAAAGGTAAGGCTAGGATCGTAACGCCCGCCTATGGGATTAGCCGCCGCTATGATAGTACAGCGGGCCTGCAAACTCGTAACAATTCCTGCTTTGCTAATTGAAATGCTTTGTTGCTCCATTGCTTCATGGATTGAGGTGCGATCTTGGTCGTTCATCTGAAAATAAGTTTTCAAGATATCATATAAATATGGGACGTTGTCGTATCAAGATTAATGTGATACCTTGTCGAACTCATCAATGAGGCAAACACCCTTATCTGCCAAAACAAGAGCACCCGCCTCTAAAGTCCATTCCTTTGACATAGGATTTCTTGTCACGTAGGCTGTCAGGCCAACGGCACTGGCTCCCTGCCCTGTAGTAAAGACACTACGAGGAGCCAACTGTTCAACATACTTGAGAAATTGAGATTTTGCAGTCCCTGGGTCGCCACATAAAAGGACGTTTATATCTCCACGAACTTTGTGCTTGCCTCCTGAAAGTAAAAATTAAAGCACTATTCGAAGAGGGATAAACTTGCCTGGATTCTTTGATTCGCCACCAAACAATGCAAGCGCAATGCCTCTTTTTATATCGTCATGTCCATAAATACTAGGAGCAATGCTTGAAAATATTCTTGCTGAAATATTCTCATCCTTAGACATTTTTAGTATCATTTTAACGTCTTCATCTGTCAAAGTTTCAACTGCAGCTTTATCATCTTTGCGGACAACATTATTTGCTATAATTACAGTCGAGAAGACAGGAAAGCCTTGCTTCGTATTTAATGAATTATCATAGCTGTGGGTATAAATACCGGTTATCTCCTTAAAAATAAAGGATATAGAACATACCACTTCATCACCAGGCTTGCAAGTATCTACGAGATCATCTAGCAGAATAGCGTCCTTAGAACGTGGAAGTCGACCAGGCGGAACCTTACTAGGGCTTTCTTGAATGGTAATCCTTTGATAATTTTTATATATGGTCTGAATTTTACTACATTGAGAGGCTTACTTGCTGCATATTTATCTCAAAAGGCCCGGAGGATTGACAATCGGGACATGTTGATGGTCGGACTTCATTCCCACCCTGACCTTGGGCAAATGGCCCGATTAGGCAACTGCATTTCATGCAGTTATAGCGAACAAGGCTTAATTGGGGCATGACTCCAGTTGTGCTTGTGACGACTCCGGCTGTGCGTATTAGTTGGTGGAGGTGTAGGAAGCGCAAGCAGCGCAAGTCTTCAATTAGTGGAAGATCATTAATTCTGACGTTAATATGACTGGTGATGCGATCGTAGCGGCTATAACGGCCCAAGGTCACTTCACGAGCAGCCTTAAAAATATTAAGAACAAAAAAGTAACCTCTCCGAATATTTGTAACATGTGCTGAGGGGCTTCAGGCAGGAAGTACGCCAAGACCTGCTCTGCTGTGGCTAGATGTTGATAATCTACAAATAAGCTGCGCTTATTTTCCCTCGCCATTTGAATGATTCTTTCGGCATAAACATTTCTATCATTCTCATCAAGAAATGTACGGAGAAACGATTTAAAGCGATTCTTTATCTCCTGGCGCGTCGCAGGTTGTTGAACCCAATCAACTATCGGCATGCCCTTCATATCTTCTAGATTTTCTATGCTTTCTAAGATTTCCTCTGGTTCCGCCCCAAGTGAGGCATCCAGTCCTGCAGCTGCACGCTCTGCTATGCGCCGACGTCTGAGAGGAATGACTTCTTCGCCCTCATCATATAAGTCTACAGAGAGATTAAGTTAATGTTGAATACCAGCTATTATGTCCCTACGAAGGCCACCAGTAGCGATGGCCTGCTCTCTATCACGGCGAAGCATTTCTTGTTCAGCCTCGGCTCTCGCTCGAGGCGAGATATTTTCAAATTCCTCATCTTCTCCAGCCAACCCTTCTGGCTCATAAACATCAAGCTCGGGAATGGGACTAAAATAGTCAATAAAATAAAAAATATGAACCGATAATCCCGCTCCATAGCGTCATTAAATAAATCTTCTCCTTCCTCTTCATCTTCCGGGACATCCTCACCAAGGATAGCGGCAGATTCATCATCAAATGGTTGATCATTGTCTAAGATAGGACTACTGTCGATTCTTCTAGCTCTATTGCGTCTTCTGCGAGTAGTAGAAGAAGACAGTTCCTAGAAAGTAATGAGAAAATGCGAGACCTACCGACATGAGGAGTTTTGATTTA